CAGATAGGATGTTTTTGAAAATGGGTGAGATAGGGAGTAATAGAGAGAATTATATGATGTGATAGGGAGATAGAGTTATATGAAATANGGGAATAATTAATTGATCGGGGACACATGGTACACTATGAGAGTCGTTTAAATAATGAGAGAGGATTATGTGATTTAGTGGTCTAAGTAATATGAAATATTTATATGGCTTGAGTTGTTTATATGACGGGATTGTGGTGGAGTCATCTAAGTAACATGATTAAAAACTCTCTGTGATGTGGGTCATCTGAAGGAAAACTATTAATGTGGTTTGAGTTGTCCCATTGATAAATGATATCTATGAGGTGATACAAGCTTGCAATACATGTGGCCTATGTGGCGCAAGAATTTGCACAACTAAAAATAGCTTGTGTGGCGGTTGTTGTTTACAAGACGATTAGTTGTGTGCGTGTGGGATATTCATTGTGAGGAATAATTTAATTATGTGGAAGTAAATATATGTGTTGTATATTTTGTTGATGTGATATATACAGGTTATGTCTAGGCGATGTAAGCGAATGTGTATGAGGTGAAGTGTAATTTGAAAGTAAGTATCTAATTCGTGATTAAGGTTGTTTCTAAATAAATAAAATTTCCTTTATCACTTGTTGTGCTCTTAAATATTAATTGCATCTTTGCTTTTACTACTGGTCTTAATGACTTTTCAAGAAAAACCATAACGACGTGAGGAGTCTATTGTCGAGTCTAGACGGTCGATTGGGATGTCATCATGGGGTTCATTTTTATATGTCATTTAAATTTAAATTGTCTTATTCTATGTCATATTCTTGAGATCAATATTACGGTATGTAAACAAGCAGGGCTAATGACAGCCCTTACCACTAAGGGGTTTGATGTATTTTTTTTATATATGCTTATTTTTACATAAAGAAAGGTGTATGACAAAAAAATAAACAGGGATTACAGATATTGTACGCCGGGTTGGGATGTTACACAAAATACCTGGACTCCTATCGTTGTGTTGCAGTTGGTGTTACTCCAGTGTGGTGTGTGTTGCAGTAGGTGTTACTTCGGTGTGTGGTGTGTGTTGCAGGTAGAGAAAGAGAGGAAGGGGGAGAAAGAGGGGTATCGTGAGATAGTTAGACTTGCTGGAGGTGTCCTAGGTGAGTTAGCAATTGAGATAAGGGATAGGTAGGTTACTTGTTTTTAAAAATGAAAGAGAGTTAGAGGAGGAGCCTTGGGTAGAGGCAAATAGGATGTTTTTGAAAATGGGTGAGGTAGGGAGTAATAGAGAGAATTATATGATGTGATAGGGAGATAGAGTTATATGAAATATATGAGTATTTTGTATCAGTTAGTATGAGATAAAGAGGAGAGAGTTAGATGAGGACAGGAGTGTTAGGAAAATCTATGATAAGGACCGTCGGATCAAAAGTCTTGAAATGATATGAGCCGCGAAAAGCTAAAGACAAACATTTCTAACTACTTTATTAAATATACTAGTCATTACTCGTGTCTGAAGGCACTATGTAATAAACAAAAAAAATTGCAAATAATTATCCAAATAAAAAAAAATTGCTCCGAAAACATTCATACCAATTATTCTTTTAAAATGACTTGCCCCCATATTATTGAAACTGTCATAAAACTGAACAAAAAACTCTCTAAAGCAATACCACATATACAATTACCTCAGAGAAAAAAAAATAGTAACAAAACCAAATCANGCGAATGTGTATGAGGTGAAGTGTAATTTGAAAGTAAGTATCTAATTCGTGATTAAGGTTGTTTCTAAATAAATAAAATTTCCTTTATCACTTGTTGTNTATTCGTCACCATTACCATTAGTCAATTCAATAACATAACATAATTACAAACTCAATCCACCCATGTAATAAATATCTTAAACAAAAAATTGCCCACAAATGCAACTATCTATATAATAAAAATAAGTTCACAAATGTTGTCAAAAAAATAAATTTTGCTATTTGAAATTTCACCAGCTTCCAAAAGGATGAAATCAAATTTACAATCATAAATTAAGAAATGTAATAAAATCANAGAGTGTTAGGAAAATCTATGATAAGGACCGTTGGATCAAAAGTCTTGAAATGATATGAGCCGCGAAAAGTTAAAGACAAACATTTCTAACTACTTTATTAAATATACTAGTCATTACTCGTGTCTAAAGGCACTATGTAATAAACAAAAAAAATTGCAAATAATTATCCAAATAAAAAAAAAATTGCTCCGAAAACATTCATACCAATTATTCTTTTAAAATGACTTGCCCCCATATTATTGAAACTGTCATAAAAATGAACAAAAAACTCTCTAAAGCAATACCACATATACAATTACCTCAGAGAAAAAAAAATAGTAACAAAACCAAATCAAATTTATAATATTTAAGTAATAAATAAAATCAATAAAATCTATAAGAATTATGCATTCGTCACCATTACCNAATCAATATTACGGTATGTAAACAAGCAGGGCTCATGACAAGCCGTACCACTAAGGGGTTTGATGTATTTTTTTTATATATGCTTATTTTTACATAAAGAAAGGTGTATGACAAAAAAATAAACAGGGATTACAGATATTGTACGCCGGGTTGGGATGTTACACAAAATACCTGGACTCCTATCGTTGTGTTGCAGTGGGTGTTACTCCGGTGTGGTGTGTGTTGCAGTGGGTGTTACTTCGGTGTGTGGTGTGTGTTGCAGGTAGAGAAAGAGAGGAAGGGGGAGAAAGAGGGGTATCGTGAGATAGTTAGACTTGCTGGAGGTGTCCTAGGTGAGTTAGCAATTGAGATAAGGGATAGGTAGGTTACTTGTTTTTAAAAATGAAAGAGAGTTAGAGGAGGAGCCTTGGGTAGAGGCAAATAGGATGTTTTTGAAAATGGGTGAGGTAGGGAGTAATAGAGAGAATTATATGATGTGATAGGGAGATAGAGTTATATGAAATATATGAGTATTTTGTATCAGTTAGTATGAGATAAAGAGGAGAGAGTTAGATGAGGACAAGAGTGTTAGGAAAATCTATGATAAGGACCGTTGGATCAAAAGTCTTGAAATGATATGAGCCGCGAAAAGTTAAAGACAAACATTTCTAACTACTTTATTAAATATACTAGTCATTACTCGTGTCTAAAGGCACTATGTAATAAACAAAAAAAATTGCAAATAATTATCCAAATAAAAAAAAAATTGCTCCGAAAACATTCATACCAATTATTCTTTTAAAATGACTTGCCCCCATATTATTGAAACTGTCATAAAAATGAACAAAAAACTCTCTAAAGCAATACCACATATACAATTACCTCAGAGAAAAAAAAATAGTAACAAAACCAAATCAAATTTATAATATTTAAGTAATAAATAAAATCAATAAAATCTATAAGAATTATGCATTCGTCACCATTACCATTAGTCAATTCAATAACATAACATAATTACAAACTCAATCAACCCATGTAATAAATATCTTAAACAAAAAATTGCCCACAAATGCAACCATCTATATAATAAAAATAAGTTCACAAATGTTATCAAAAAAATAAATTTTGCTATTTGAAATTTCACCAACTTCCAAAAGGATGAAATCAAATTTACAATCATAAATTAAGAAATGTAATAAAATCANGGGTGTTACTCCGGTGTGGTGTGTGTTGCAGTGGGTGTTACTTCGGTGTGTGGTGTGTGTTGCAGGTAGAGAAAGAGAGGAAGGGGGAGAAAGAGGGGTATCGTGAGATAGTTAGACTTGCTGGAGGTGTCCCAGGTGAGTTAGCAATTGAGATAAGGGATAGGTAGGTTACTTGTTTTTAAAAATGAAAGAAAGTTAGAGGAGGAGCCTCGGGCAGAGGCAGATAGGATGTTTTTGAAAATGGGTGAGATAGGGAGTAATAGAGAGAATTATATGATGTGATAGGGAGATAGAGTTATATGAAATATATGAGTATTTTGTATCAGTTAGTATGAGATAAAGAGGAGAGAGTTAGATGAGGACAAGAGTGTTAGGAAAATCTATGATAAGGACCGTCGGATCAAAAGTCTTGAAATGATATGAGCCGCGAAAAGCTAAAGACAAACATTTCTAACTACTTTATTAAATATACTAGTCATTACTCGTGTCTGAAGGCACTATGTAATAAACAAAAAAAATTGCAAATAATTATCCAAATAAAAAAAAAANTGAGATAGGGAGAGAGAGTTAGACGAGAGATAGGAGTATTAGAAAATTTTGGCATGAGAATCGTCGAATCAATAATCGTAAAATAATCTGAACTGCGAAAAATTGAAAACAAAGAAATTTAGCTACTTTATATATATATATATATATATATATTTTCGCATTTATTTAACTTTAAATTTTAAGGTTAATTACATAGGAAATCTCCAAAATATAGAGTTTATTTTATTTTGGTCTCCAATATTTTAATTATATTATTTTGGTATTTGAAGTATTGCATATGTTTTTATGTGGTTCTTAAAGCAGACAATATTTAAATTGTTAATGATTTGTTATCATAAACTTGTTACATGATACTTGAATATGGGTAAAAAATAATTTGAATAACTCTTGATCAACATTTGAATAACTCACAATCAAAATTTGAATAACTCATAATTAAAATTATATAATTTGGATAATTTTTTGGCCAAAAAATGTGTAGCAATTTAATCAAGGGTTATTTAAATTATTTTTTGTCTATATTTTTAAATTTATGTAATAAATTTATAATAAAAAATTATTAACAATTTGAGCTCTATCTAATTGAGGAACCACATAAAAAAAAAATTAAATATTTTAAAAATTAAAATAATACAATTAAAATATTAAAAACTAAAATAAAACAAATCTTATCCTTTAGACACCTCTAATACAATTAAGTCTAAATTTTATCTTTTTACTTAAAAAGATATCCATTTAGAAGGACGTCGTATTATGACTTTTTAACAGCTAACCACAGACTAGAGATTCTGGAGGTCGCATACTACTAGAGTCACTCTTCACGGCACAAGCACCAATTTCAATCTCCATGTTGAGCCTGAAACCCTAATGTTCAGATTACCAGTGGACATGAATTCAGGGGTTTTCACATCAAGCTGAGCTCAAACACCTCCCAAAAATGGCCCTGAAAACCATAATTCAATTCCCAGTTTTTGCTCCACCCAATCCACCACACAACAATAGGCACTACCGTCCCGCCACCGAAATCCGCTTTTCCCGGTGGAACAACGCCAACGCCGAGAAATTCATCCGCCACAAACGCACCCAGAAAGAAATCGAAGACGAACTCCGTTTCCACAAACGCTTCGACTCCGCCCTCAACATCGCCAACAATTATGACACCACCACCACCACCACCACCACCACCACTGATACTTTCAAATCCACCGGAACGCCATCAACACCCTCTAGACCTTCAATTCCCGGCAAGAAATCGAAATACTCCAAAAACCCAAAAAATTATAAAACCCCCAACTACGTACACCCCGCATTTAAACCAGTTACGAGGCATTCAGTTGTATCAAATGTATCGGAAGAGGATAAAACTGGTGTTAAAATTAGTGAAAAAGGGGTTTCATATGAATTCCCAGAAGCCCCCTTTGAGTTTCAGTACAGTTATACTGAAACCCCAAAGGTGAAGCCATTAAAGNTTACATAGAAAATCTCCAAAGTATAGAGTTTATTTTATTTTGGTCTCTAATAATTTAATTATATTATTTTGGTATTTGAAGTATTGCATATATTTTTATGTGGTTCTTAAAACAGACAATATTTAAATTGTTAATGATTTGTTATCATAAACTTGTTACATGGTACTTGAATATGGGTAAAAAATAATTTGAATAACTCTTGATCAACATTTGAATAACTCACAATCAAAATTTGAATAACTCATAATTAAAATTATATAATTTGGATAATTTTTTGGCCAAAAAATGTGTAGCAATTTAATCAAGGGTTATTTAAATTATTTTTTGTCTATATTTTTAAATTTATGTAATAAATTTATAATAAAAAATTATTAACAATTTGAGCTCTATCTAATTGAGGAACCACATAAAAAAAACATTAAATATTTTAAAAATTAAAATATTAAAAACTAAAATAAAACAAATCTTATCTTTTAGACACCTCTAATACAATTAAGTCTAAATTTTATCTTTTTACTTAAAAAGATATCCATTTAGAAGGACGTCGTATTATGACTTATTAACAGCTAACCACAGACTAGAGATTCTGGAGAGTCGCATACTACTAGAGTCACTCTTCACGGCACAAGCACCAATTTCAATCTCCATGTTGAGCCCGAAACCCTAATGTTCAGATTATCAGTGGACATGAATTCAGGGGTTTTCACATCAAGCTGAGCTCAAACACCTCCCAAAAATGGCCCTGAAAACCATAATTCAATTCCCAGTTTTTGCTCCACCCAATCCACCACACAACAATAGGCACTACCGTCCCGCCACCGAAATCCGCTTTTCCCGGTGGAACAACGCCAACGCCGAGAAATTCATCCGCCACAAACGCACCCAGAAAGAAATCGAAGACGAACTCCGTTTCCACAAACGCTTCGACTCCGCCCTCAACATCGCCAACAATTATGACACCACCACCACCACCACCACCACCACCACTGATACTTTCAAATCCACCGGAACGCCATCAACACCCTCTAGACCTTCAATTCCCGGCAAGAAATCGAAATACTCCAAAAACCCAAAAAATTATAAAACCCCCAACTACGTACACCCCGCATTTAAACCAGTTACGAGGCATTCAGTTGTATCAAATGTATCGGAAGAGGATAAAACTGGTGTTAAAATTAGTGAAAAAGGGGTTTCATATGAATTCCCAGAAGCCCCCTTTGAGTTTCAGTACAGTTATACTGAAACCCCAAAGGTGAAGCCATTAAAGCTACGTGAGCCACCCATTGCGCCATTTGGGCCAAGCACTATGCCTAGGCCATGGACAGGACGAAAGCCGATGACATCGAGTAAGAAGAAAATTGAGTTTGATTCATTTCAGTTGCCTCCGCCCCATAAGAAGGGGGTGAAGCCGGTGCAGGCGCCGGGGCCGTTCTTGCCCGGTTCGGGACCAAAGTATGTGGAGTCGAGGGAGGAGATATTGGGGGAGCCATTGACGAAGGAGGAGATAAAGGAGCTTATAGAAAGCTGTAAGAAATCAAAAAGGCAATTGAATATGGGTATATTTTTAATTTACTGATCTTATATGTGGGTTTTGTCTTGAGAAATTCTACTGTGGGCATTTGTTTTTAATTTGGTATCTTTGCAATGTAGGAGTGGAACGTGGGTATGTTTTAATACACAGAATCAGTATGTGATTCCTAGTTTAGATGTGAAATGTATAATGCTTTGTGTATTGTTCAGCCGTGTTGCATTATACATTTTGAATATATGCATGCTTAAATCTGGAATCCATGATGTATTTGTTGGCTTGCATAACCTCTAAATATGTGTTGTAGATATTCTTATCAAAAAAAAAATATGCGTTGTGGATATTGATATAATTGATTATGACCTTGAACTGTAGAGTGGGATGTGATAAGCTAGATGAGTCAACTGTGATTATAATTTTTTGCAAGAGGTTATTTTTTGTTGGTTGTCTTTGACAAAACAGATAAGTGATGTGAACTATTGAATTTATGTTTCTTGCTGGAGTGATTGAATTGGTTCTTGTGGATGAGCTTATGGCTTTATTACATTCAATTGGTTTATTTTTTAGGAAGAGATGGCTTGACTCATAACATGTTGGACAACATCAATGCCCTTTGGAAGCGATGGAGAGTGTGCAAGATAAAATGCAAAGGAGTGTGTACAGTTGACATGGACAATGTGCGCCAGCATTTAGAGGTTGGTGTTTTCTAATTTTTATTTGCTGGACAATATTTGTTTTCTTTGATCTCACATGTCATTGAATTTGTATAATATTTGCTACATTTTGTTCAGTAAGTGAATGCTTAATTAGTTTGGGCAACCAAAGAAAATCTCAGTTAATCCAATTTAGCTTGAAAGTATTCAGGATGGCTCTGTGGACACCAGCCATAGCTGGCTAGTGGTTGTCCAGGAAGGCTTCTTCTCTTAATAAACCTGCCTGAAAAAAATTGAAGTTTAAATATGTAAACTTGCAAAATTGTGTTAATACAGCCTGACTTCAGCTAGTTACTAGAGCCAGAATAATTCCTATTAATTAAAAAGTTTCAATTTGTAAAAAATATGAAGGCCGGTGAGCTAGGAATCACGGATATGAATATGGGTATCATATCCGATACGATACAGACACGGGGATATAACAAAATTTCAAAATATAGGACAAGGGTACGGCAAGAATATGACTAACTAAAATAATATTAAATGTTTTTTATATAAATAATATTAANGACAAAATTTCAAAATATAGGACAAGGGGCAAGAATATGACTAACTAAAATAATATTAAATGTTTTTTATATAAATAATATTAATAATAAGACCTAGAAATCATTGAGTAGTTGGTTAATATTTTAATATTGGGCAGTGGGATAAATTAAATTAGACAATAGACTAATATGTTAGAATTGGACAGTGGGCTAATACCAAATGGGATGTGGGTTAATTTATTTGGAAACTAATAAATAAATGAGTAAATTACATTTTACCAAAGGGGGTAAAGTGTAATTTATCCTAAATAAATTATACCAAAAAAATAGAAAAGTAGTAAAAAAAAAAAGTATTTTCGAAATCGAGAGTGAGAGAAAGAGATAGAGAGAGAGAGAGAAAAGATAAGAAAAAGAAAAAGGAAAAGACGACCAGATAAGGCTAGCAGTTGCTATCTGAGGACACAGAAGGAAGAGAAAAAAGAAGAAGCCGAGAAGGAGAAGGTGGCTAAGGATGCCACGATCTGGACTGAACAGATCTGGATTCTGGTATGTCTTTTTTTCCTCTTCTTCCTTTGCACTTCGTCACTTCTTCCCCTCTTCCTCTCTGGTATCCCTTTGTCCCACCGTATCCCCACGTATGCTAGCCGTATCCGACAAAAAAAAATTCTTGCTTAGGATACTTGTAGAGGTGTCAAACACGTGTCCGATTGTGTCCCACGCGTATCCGTGTCGGACACGTATCCGACACCGCCACATCGACCCTCTAGCGAGTATCCGTGCTTTCTAGTCAGTGAGGTCTCTTCAATACCCTTTACAACCAGATAAGTGACCTCTTACATATCTTCTACCACTAGCACTTTTCTACCCTTGTCAATTTTCACATTCTCGAGCAATTTTTCTATTCATCTTGCCCCAAATGTGTGTATCAATGCAGCAAAACACAAGTCTTATCATATTGGGAATGGCTTATGTTTAGTTTTGTACTAGCTAAGTGGACAGCTTTAGTCCATTGTGCCCGCACTTTTTTGCTCTAAATTACATTGCCTTGTGTATCTCTTGCACAAGTGTTGCTACTAGGAGAAGAATTGGTATGAGAATACCAACCAAACCAGACTTAGCCTTATGTCTTAATCATTAGAGTTCGACTATATGAATCCGTCTCCGCAATTCATTTCGGTCATGCTCTTTAAGCTCATTTAAGTTAAATATTTTCATATCTTTTCTTATTATTTCGTTTTATCACTTTTTCTAATCAGTGCCTCTATTGGCCTCCGTTGAATATGACCAAACCATCTTAATTTATTCTCTCTCAACTTATCCTCAGTTAGAGCTACTCCTACCATTTCTCTAATACGGTCATTTTATCCTTTCTAGTTTTTCCACACATCTACCGTAATATTCTCATTTCTGCTACACAAGCAAACAACTAACAGTCATAGTCCACTGAAAGTCTGAAACAGACATAGTATGACCTTGTCTTGACAAAAATAGCAGTCATGGAGCTTGTGGATTCTCAATTTNATCATAGTCCACTGAAAGTCTAAAACAGACGTAGTATGACCTTGTCTTGACAAAAATAGCAGTCATGGAGCTTGTGGATTCTCAATTTGTTATTTTCTTTTTGGAGGCTCTATTGCAACGTGACTTGTGAGTTCCTCAAATATTTTATGGTTTGACAGGAGAAAACAGGTGGGAAAGTTATATTCAGTAAAGGGGGGGTCATATACCTTTTCCGCGGTAGAAATTACAATTATAAAACTCGGCCACGCTTTCCTCTTATGTTGTGGAAACCTATTACCCCTGTGTATCCAAGACTGATTAAGCAGGTCCCAGAAGATCTGACATTGGAAGAAGCATGTGAAATGCGCAGGAAGGGCCGCAATCTGACACCCATATACAAGCTTGGTATGCTGACGTCTGTTCTCTGAAGTTCATTTACAGACTGAAGTGGTCCGATTTTTCGCTGAAACAAATTGATAATTTTGGGTTTTTGTGGTTTTCACAGGAAAAAATGGTGTTTACTGTGACCTCGTAAGAAATGTCAGAGAGGCATTCGAAGCATGTGAATTGGTGCGAGTAAATTGTCAAGGGATGAATGGGAGCGACTATAGGAAAATAGGTGCCAAACTCAAGGTCTGGTAGATATCTTGTTTCTAGAGTATATTTCTCACAACCTGAGTTTTATATTAAACTCTTATGTCTTTTATGTCAGGATCTTGTTCCATGTGTGTTAATGTCCTTTGAGCGTGAACACATTCTGATGTGGAGAGGAAGAGATTGGAAGTCCTCCATTCCGAATTTTGAAAATGATCCCAAGGAAGTGCAGAATTTATTAGTTAATGAAGCAAGCTTTGACAATCTCAATTCAAGCAAATCTCCTGTGGATAGTGAAGATGTGGGCTTAGAGGAGAGCAATGAATTGAGCAAGGAGGATGGTCAGGATTTTTTATCTGAAGTAAATGATATGCCATCTGTAGGTCCTCTTGCAGATTCAACTCTGATGAATATTTGTGAAACAGAAAGTTCTGCACCATCATATCCAAGCTCCATTTCCAATTATCCTGAAACTTTGACTAGAAGCTGTGAGAGCAAAGAGATATTGAATAATTCAGGCCCTGAAGATGACGACACTAGAGCTATGTCAATGGGATCTGGCCCCAAGCTGGGAAGTGCGGGTGGGGGTAACCAAAATCAACTGAAGTCTTTATCTTTGGTTCCTCTTTCTTGTAACAAGCTGGAAGATGTATCAGAAGACTTGGACATTCTCAGCAAACCGCGGAGTTTGAGTTCCCCATGTACTGAGGAAGTTTTGCTACTCTGGAAGCAAGCGGTCAAAAGTGGGAGTGCAGTTGTTTTGGATGATTCTAGTCTGGGCGCCGACGTTGTTTATGAAAGGGCAGTTGCTCTGGCCCAATCTGCTCCACAGGGGCCTGTTTTTAGGCACGGACGTAAGAAGATGGCACCCAATGAATGTGAGGAACACGAAAGTAGAGATTCAGAGGTGAGAGAAGTCGTTTCAGAGAGGGAAGGAAGAGATGGAAAGAAGTCTACAAACAAAAGAATGAAGGATTTTAAAGAAGATTGCTTAAACATAGNTGTAAGAAGATGGCACCCAATGAATGTGAGGAACACGAAAGTAAAGATTCAGAGGTGAGAGAAGTCATTTCAGAGAGGGAAGGAAGAGATAGAAAGAAGTCTACAAACAAAAGAATGAAGGATTTTAAAGAAGATTGCTTAAACATAGTTCCTCGGGGAAGTCTAAGAGTAGATGAACTTGCTAAGCTTCTATCATAATGCCGTATTTAGCAACTTCTGAGATAATGTAAATTGTTTTCCCCAAAATTGTTGTCTTACTGACTTTTTTTTATTATTTTTGCCTATATGCAAATGGCATCTTCATCTAGTTGATTGCTTGCAGGTTTTTTTTGCCATCACAGTAATTCTGGCGCATGGAATTTTGATAAGAAATGTATCCATAGTATGAATTGGTCATTTCATTCTATATGGAACGTTCGAGTGGCTTGAGTTGAAGTACTTCTTTTTCTTTTCTTTGTGTTACTTAAAAAGTAGTCGTTTCATAACTCAAAACTACTACACAAACAACCTTATGAGTTTTGAAATTTCTGCCCTTTGCTTCTGACTTTGAAATGGAGGTAAATAGTTAAACAAGTTCTCCCAGGGTGGAGGCTTCCGCCAATGTTGGTGGTCGATGGTGGATGATTGGTGGAGTGGAGATGAGTGGTTGGTGTGGTAAAGGGCCATGGTACATGAAAAGAGAGGGAAATGAGATGGGAAGTGAAAAAGCAGACAAAAATGTGTTTGGTAATGGGATTTGTGTTTGGTAATGAGATTGAGTTTGTTCTAATGACGTACTCCAATGTTGACTCAAACTCAAAATCAACTCCTTCAATGGAAAAAACTCAATTTCATATCTAAATATTTTTAAAAATTCTTATATTGTCCTTCTTTAATTTTTTTTTCCCTCCTCAAGCTTTATCGATTCTAAGAATTCGAAGGATGTCTGGTCAAAGCATGTCGCCAACTCTAAAAACTCAAAGCTTCAACAAATTCGAAGCGTGCCGATAACACCAAAAGACCAAAATTCCCTCACCACAGCATGGTCGGTGATTTTTGGGTATCCAAGTTCGAAGTCGAACTGGGTCTATCAAACCCCACGGTTGATGGGGAGATGATTAGGGTTAAGGTTATGGTTTTCTTATGCGTGATGTGAAGGGAGTAGTGGTCGATGGTGTTGGAAGCTGTGAAGGGAGGAGTGGCCGATGCTGCCAGAAGTTATGAAGGGAGGAGTGGCGGCTGATGGTGTCGAAGGCTGAGAAGGGAAGAGTGATCGATGATGCCAGAAGTTGCCAAGGGAGGAAGACAAAGAACCAAGTTTTTGGCAGAGAAATATTACCGAAAGAATTTGGGTAAAGGATATTCATTTCCTTCAATTTGAGTCAAGAACTCCATGACTCAAATTTTTAATTAAATTTAAATTAATATTTGAATAAAAAATTTAATTTGATATAAAGGACTTTAACGAACAAACTCAAATTTTAAAAAAAAGAGATCCAAATTTAAATGGGGGCAAATTTAAATTTAAAAAAAAATAAATATGATCATTGGATCTTTAAAATATTATGAAATCTCACTATAAAATATTTGAATCTCTCTTAATTTGAGTAAAAAATGAGTTTTTTTTAATTTGGTATAATTTTGAGTCAAGGGTTGAAACAAGTTTTTTAGACTTTTTTACTCAAATCTAAATTGGAGCAAGTTTCACCATCTTTTAAAGATTTAATGGTCATCTTTACTCTCTTTTAAATTTGAGTTTGCTCTCGTTTAAATTTAGGTCTCTCCTTCTTTAAATTTGAGTTTGCCCATTGAAGTCTTTTATATCAAATCAAGTTTTTTACTTAAATGTTAATTTAAATTTGAGTAAAAATTTAAGTCATGGTCGGAGATGTTCTTAATTTAGTATAAATATAGCTATAGGGTTATAAATGATTTTTGAAANAATTTTAACGATCAAACTCAAATTTTAAAAAAAAGAGACCTAAATTTAAATGGGGACAAATTTAAATTTTAAAAAAAATAAAGATAATCATTAGATCTTTAAAAGATTATGAAATCTCACTATGAAAGATTTGAATCTCTCTTAATTTGAGTAAAAAATAAATTTTTTTTAATTTGGTATAATTTTGAGTCAAGGATTGGGACAAATTTTTTAGACTTTTTTACTCAAATCTAAATTGGAGCAAGTTTTACCATCTTTTAAAGATTTAATGTTCATCTTTACTCCCTTTTAAATTTGAGTTTGCCCTCATTTAAATTTAGGTCTCTCCTTCTTTAAATTTGAGTTTGTCCATTGAAGTCTTTTATATCAAATCAAGTTTTTTACTTAAATGTCAATTTAAATTTGAATAAAAATTTAAGTCATGGTTGGAGATGTTCTTAATTTAGTATAAATATAGCTATAGGGTTATAAATGATTTTTGAAATAATTTTATTTAAATTTAAATTTGAGTATGAATTTAAATAAGGTGCAAAAATCACCTAAGAGATGTTTGGATCGAATGATTGTCATGATGCATGGATAAGGCATAAAGATAAAATTGAAAAACAGATAGTTTTGTGGAGAGTAAAATTTGACAAAAGATATTAATCTAATTTGCAAAAATGTCTTTTTTTTTTTTTGGGCTCTAAAAAAGAATCTTGAATCTCACTATTGACAGTTTTTTTCTTTCATGTTCAAACATCTAGAGAGAGAGAGAGAATAAAAATAAGGGAAAAAATGAATTTGGTATTACAACTTTGTTCATTCAGGTTAAATTAAAAAAAATTATATCTATTGTACGAATGAAATTTAGCAAAAAAATAAAATTATAAACTTCAAAAAAAATGAAAATATCCTTCTTTTTTTTCGGTCTCTACAAAAATACTCTTATTATTATTAGATTGACAGTTGTTCTTTCATCACGTTGAAACGTGTAAATTTTATTCGCTTCGAAACGGCATTAGTAATGGACAAAATATGAAGCTGCATGGCAACCACGTGCTCAAAAAAAAAAGTAAACAAACGTCAGAGTCGACCCATTTGCATAATCGAAGCAAGCAACCCCCAGTACTGTACGCCTTAATCCTCTCCTCTCTTCCCTCTCTCTCCCCCCCCCCCCCCCNTTTCTTTCATGTTCAAACATCTAGAGAGAGAGGGAATAAAAATAAGGGAAAAAATGAATTTGGTATTACAACTTTGTTCATTCAGGTTAAATTAAAAAAAAAATTATATCTATTGTACGAATGAAATTTAGCAAAAAAATAAAATTATAAACTTCAAAAAAAATGAAAATATCCTTCTTTTTTTTCGGTCTCTACAAAAATACTCTTATTATTATTAGATTGACAGTTGTTCTTTCATCACGTTGAAACGTGTAAATTTTATTCGCTTCGAAACGGCATTAGTAATGGACAAAATATGAAGCTGCATGGCAACCACGTGCTCAAAAAAAAAAGTAAACAAACGTCAGAGTCGACCCATTTGCATAATNCCACACGAGCTTCTCCTAGGGTTTGATGGTCTCTCTCATCAATCACTCAGGTAGTTTCTATCTCCATCTTGCGTATGTTACTTCTGTGTTGTCTTATAATTCTTTGAGATTTTTAGCATCAGCTTTGTTGTTTGAATTGATGGACTTTTGGGCCGCTTATCTATTGGGATTTGACTAATCTAGATCGAATCAATTGTGGGATTTTTTTTCTTTTTGGATTTTTTTGCTGTTTTTGTTCCGGTGAGTTTTCATGGATGATTTTGTGGCGGACAGATCTGATTATAATTTGTTTTCAGTTAATTTGATTGTTAGTGTTGTTTAATTTTGGTGGGCTTGTCTTTGATTTTGATTTTTTTTTTTGGTGATGTAGGTATTGTGGGTTTTATTTCGGCTAATTAGTTATATTTGTCTCCAATCTAATTAGTTGTGTTTGGTGATTATGATGCAGTGAAAAGGTTCATTGATAAGTTATTTTAGTTTGTTTAGTGAGGATTATTTAAGAATATGGGGAGTTTTTATAGGCACGCCATGCCCATGCTGGTGGTTCAGATATGAGTGTGGTTTGCATTGAATGAAGCTTGTAATTAATGGGATCAGTGGCTCCATCAATATGTATCAATTTATGTTCATTGCATTTCTAGAGCAGTTCAACAGATAGGTTCACATAATTCCAGAAATTTTGAAGTTACCTTTTTGGGGACTTCTCAGGGCAATTCCCAAAAAGACTCCTCTTTTTACTGGTTGATTGAAACATTTTTCTTAATGATGGCAGTCATGTGAAATCTGACTTTTGTTCCCATCTATTTTTCTCTGAAACAAGATGATCTTCTGTGCAGGTGTATTTTTTCTAGATGCTTAACCATTAGGTCAGTGATAAAAATGTGGTTATTGAGGGTTCAAAACTGAGGACAGCCACATTGTGCAAGGTTGGGTCTGTCCGTTTGTATCTGGACCACGCCTCCTAGACCCCCATTAATAGGGACTAAAGTAGGTGTTATTTTATGATGGCTTAGGTGTGTATGGTTTACAACATGAATCATTGGGAACATGTCATAGGGATAAACTGAATTTTAAAGGGTTTGAATGTGAATTGTGCTGAAATTCTTTACTTTATCAAATGGAGGATGAGAATGTACTTGATCTAAGGTTAGCTCTGCCTTGTGGCGGATCATCTGCTGTATCAAAGTGTAAAATTAGTGGTTCCTCTGATACTAGGACAGATGATGGTGATAGAGGTAGCAAGTTGATCAATGATTTCAAAACCTTTCTTGATGGAGGGACCCAAAAACCTGACTCTAGCATGGGATCTCAGAGAAGTGATCTTGGTAGACCGGAGATGAACTTCTTTAGGAACCTTTCAAAAGCTGCTGTTGATGTGGATGCTTCTACAAACTTGAACAGTGGGCTCTGGATTACTAATGATAATAGATCTACTGAAGTTGAAGAGGGAAAGAGAGCAGATGCTGATAACAAACGTAAAAACACGTTTGATGAGATAAACCATAAAAAAAAGCGTGAAAGAAAAGCTTATCTTGCTGATTTGCACGACAATACAAGATCACATATTTCCATAAACACCGATGATGGCTCAACTGCTGAAAATGAAGATGTGGCAGATTCTGAAGTTGAGGGTACAACCTCAAGGCTGGCATCACCCTGTGATGGTGGTTCCAAACGGTTTAACAGGGGTAATGCCTTATCTGAGGTTCCTGAGGATGTTCATGTGGCTGATTCAAGTGCTGTAGATTTCAAAGGACAAAAGAAGTTTAACTTTTCATCAGAAAAGGAATTGAAGTGTGGGAATATGCCTTATGGTGTTCCTTTCCCCGCTCAATCAGGGAACATCCTCAATATGCCTTACTCGTCACTTGGGAAGGAGTCTAATCCAACTACTGCTCCTGGCCCATCAGGCTATCCACTGCCTGGCATGATTCAAGTGATGGCTGCCACAAATAGTGAGAGACTAGGGACCCTACCACCTGTGCTTTCTGCAAATGCACCGCTGATGTTTGGATATCCTACTGTCCCATTTCCAATGTTGGACAAGGATAATTCCCGGGGTTTAGTTTCTCATTCACAACAGCTCCATCCATCTTATGCCAGCAGGGATCCACCCAACTCGGATAAGCAAATTGATGGACGGAAGATATCTCAAGGTTTTTCTTGCACTCCTTATGCAACTTTCTTCCACACTATTTCTATTGTTTTAATGGTATTTGGTCGAAATTATCGTATTAGAGAAATAGTAGGAGTAGCTCTAATTGAGGATAAGTTGAGAGAGAATATGTTAAGATGATTTAATCATGTTCAACAGATGTCAATAGAAGCACCGGTTAGAAAAAGTGAGGAAATTTCTCTTAATGGTATTAGAAGTTAGGATATACTTAAATTAACATTAAACAAAATAATAAGAAAAGATATGAAAATATTTAACTTAAATGAGCGTATAACATATGATTGAAATGAATGACAAAAACGGACTCATATAGTCGGCCCCAAATGATTGGGATATAAGGCTTGATTTGGTTGATTGGTAATTGTATTTGGAAATGCTGACCTCAATTGCGAGAGTCTGAGGGCCTTACAGGATTTCTAGAGAGTACTAAGGGATTTGGATACTTTAACATTCTGGGAAGATAATCGAGATAGAAATGTTAGAAGTTAAAAGACGTGGATATGTTTGTGACATATTTCATATGTCATGGTTTACCTTTAGTTGGCATCGTGAGTTATTGATTTGGACATATTTTTAACTGACTTTTTCAGGTTGATGATAGGGGTAAAATTTGAATGGTACTGATTCCATGTTATAGCCATTAGACACTAGATTATATGTCATATATGTGCATTGTATTGAGCCGCAAACCATAAATCAAACAAAAATAGACTTGGTTAAGGGTGAGGCTAGTTATACCGTTGGACCAGCAGGAATCTAGATATAATGACAAAATGATCTCCTAAATATAGTAAAATGTCAAATAAATGCTGACAGAAATTTAAAGGAAAAACAATTTTTTTCCACTTGCAAAACATTTGAAAACAAATTTTGTAGTCATACACAACAGTGCTGCGTGCCATCATACTTTAACCATTCAAACAAAGAATATTTCCCATTTGTAGTGGATAAAATAGGCACCGGGACGTGCATAGACGGACAACATGGCAGTCGTGAACATATTCAACTGAGTGGTGCCTTCCTTCTCTTCAGTGGAGCAAAAATTATTATAAATTGGAGATAGCTTGGGAAAGCAAGGAGTATAGAGAGCATTTTGTCACTAATGCCAGCACTTCATGAAAAATGGAAAAATAGAAAAGTACTGGTCTGTTAGTGAAGAATTCAAAAATAGGAAAGCATTAATATTATTTTTTTGGCTGACAGCCACACCATCCAATCAAATCAAGATTTGTCCTCGAGAGTCTACATATTTGACACAATCAAATATTGCAGAAGAAATTACAATGGTATGGGTAAGTTCACATTGCTTATGGGAGAGAAAACAATAATGGAATGAGAGATCTTGCTAATTTACCCCCTATTTTCAATATTTTTTATCCTTAAAGTGCAGCCTGTATACCTTTTTTAGTCCCCATAGAGAAGCATACAAATAATAATGATCACTATTCGAATGCTTCTATATGTGTGTGTATGAGAGAGAGAGAGAGAGAGATGATTCTGTTGGTTTTGGAGGCTTTCCAATTTGGGAAATGCATTTGGGTGTTGATACAATGTGTAAACTTCTGCTGGTTGACAGAGTGGTATGACTGCCCTGTCCCGTCTGGTTTTCAGTCATTTTGACATATCTAGGGTTTATCTGTGGGTTATTATTGCAAATGATTGCGTAAGAGACAATTATTGTATCATGAAGAAATTCGGATGCATATGGGATTATTGATTTCTAAGACTGAATCATGGGAAAGATTACACTAGATTTCCCTCTGGGGCTGAGCATTTTTGTAGTTCTGCTGAAGTCCTGGCAGCTGTTATCTGTTTCAGTTTTTCTTATTTGGCTAATTGACGATTTTTGTACTAACCGGCATTTAAGTTTAATCTTATAACTGCAAATGAGATTCATTTTCCTGGCAAGTACTCTATGGGTGTTGTTGTCATGCCAGTAAACCCACACAAGTCATCTGAAGCTACTCAATATGATGGGAGGCCATTAGAACGAGCCCAAGGGGATGGGAAACAGCATGTCACAGAAGGAGCTGCCTCTCCTTATGCATCTGGCCAGCCAAGAGCCGAAGGGTTTTCTTCTGAATTTCCTGCTATAAGGCCAGGTACTGCTGCAGATTTGAAGTTTGGTGGTTGCGGGTCCTACCCAAATCTACCATGGGTTTCGACAACCGGCGCAAATGATAGGACAATATCAGGTGTTACTTACAGATATAGTGCAACCCAAATCCGGATTGTTTGTGCTTGCCATGGGNCAAGTGTGCAGGAATGGTGCCTACAAAAAGTGTTTTCAAGACACTGGAATATTATAAGTTCAGATTTTGTACCCGGGCAAGTAGTCCAACAGTTTGGCTGAATCATGGCCGTCTTAAATTTAAATCTCGCTAGTTACTCTCAGTTTAACCAATATTTATGGTTAGTGGGTAATTGTAAATATTCGATATTTACTTTGAATGGGTAAATTAGTGATTCTACAATATAAAAAAAAAAAAAAAAAAGAATTGGCGATTCTAACTTGGAGCTATTGGTCACAATTGAGAGAGAGAGATTGAAACCCAGGCAAATAGTCCTAGGCTGAGTCATCAACTCGGATGTCTTGAATTTAATTCTCGTTAACCAATAGTTATGATTAGCGGGTAATTATAAGTATTTGAGGTTTACTTTGTATGGATGAATTAGTGATTCTAACTTAGAACTAGAGAGAGAGAGAGAGAGAGAGAGAGAGAGAGAGAGAGAGAGAGAGAGAGAGCTTCCTGATTCTAAATCTCATTGACTACCTTACACTTTTTAGTTAATAAGTAATGTTATTAAGACATAATTTATTGAACTAACTGAGTTCGGTTATGGCTGTATATTGCTTGGGATGAGTTAAGATGATGGGGATTGTTTAATGGGTCAACTGATTTATACATAAAAANTTGATACAATGTGTAAACTTCTGCTGGTTGACAGAGTGGTATGACTGCCCTGTCCCGTCTGGTTTTCAGTCATTTTGACAAATCTAGGGTTTATCTGTGGGTTATTATTGCAAATGATTGCGTAAGAGACAATTATTGTATCATGAAGAAATTCGGATGCATATGGGATTATTGATTTCTAAGACTGAATCATGGGAAAGATTACACTAGATTTCCCTCTGGGGCTGAGCATTTTTGTAGTTCTACTGAAGTCCTGGCAGCTGTTATCTGTTTCAGTTTTTCTTATTTGGCTAATTGACGATTTTTGTACTAACCGGCATTTAAGTTTAATCTTATAACTGCAAATGAGATTCATTTTCCTGGCAAGTACTCTATGGGTGTTGTTGTCATGCCAGTAAACCCACACAAGTCATCTGAAGCTACTCAATATGATGGGAGGTCATTAGAACGAGCCCAAGGGGATGGGAAACAGCATGTCACAGAAGGAGCTGCCTCTCCTTATGCATCTGGCCAGCCAAGAGCCGAAGGGTTTTCTTCTGAATTTCCTGCTATAAGGCCAGGTACTGCTGCAGATTTGAAGTTTGGTGGTTGCGGGTCCTACCCAAATCTACCATGGGTTTCGACAACCGGCGCAAATGATAGGACAATATCAGGTGTTACTTACAGATATAGTGCAACCCAAATCCGGATTGTTTGTGCTTGCCATGGGTTGCACATGTCCCCTGAAGAGTTTGTTGTGCATGCTGGTGAAGCGGCAACAAATCCAGAATCTGGCAATGGTTTAGCGTCTTTTTCGAGTGGCAACACTGCTGCCTCTGCTCAAATCTGATTCTTGTGTAAAATCCCAGGTGAAAGACTGACTTTTTCTTTCAGCTAGGCCAATAATTTTTGCAATCTGATGCAATAAGGAAGTCTTTGGTTTTTGCACAATAAATGTGATATTCCTCCTCACTTATCTCACCATACATGCTTAGATATCAAATTCTCCTTTTGTAAGTTGTCTTAGCTGTTGCAATAATTGTTTGTAATGACTTTACTGGATCATTTGTTTGGCTGACAAATGTATAATATATCTATTTGCTGCAGTAGGTTCTATTTGATTGATATCTTGCAAGTTCTTTTCTTGCTTTTGGAAAATTTATCAAGGGTCGTCTTAAGCTAGTTACATCTGCTTTGCCTATGACATTAACTTTGCCAGACCTATAGCAAGTATGATCTGAGACATGAGTGTCTCATTTTTGGGTTCATTGCACGGGGCGCATTGGTAGACATATCGGGTTAACAATAGTGAGGTTTTGGACTCGTGTCCAAGTAGTCATTTTGTAAAGGTAATTTGTAGTTTACATATGTTTTTGGTCCAATTTTCTTGGCACCCTTCATTAACCTTATCTCATTGTATTTGGTAGATTCATTAGCCAGTATGGGGTTTTGCCAGCAAATCATATTGATGAAACAACCTTAAGTACATGTTTGACAAGAAACATATAGTATTTTACTTGCCCAAAAAAAAAAGTACATGTTTCACTATAAAAACATTTACTTTTCATGGTTGATGATGAACACATGGACTTCCCAAACTATCCAACAGAGATCGTGTATTTGATGGATTTTGGTTATAAACTTATAGTTGGGTGGGAATAAAAAACATCGTTGTTTAATATCTATCTTTTTTTACAATCTTAAATCGCTAATTTCGTCTTCCTATTCTAGCTATTCCCTTTTACTCAAGTTGTGGGTCAACTCGAAATTGATTGAATTTACTTTTTTTTTTTTTGAGTTGTATATAAGGAGCTTGTTACAGTGTCGGGGAAAAGAATTCCGGTATTATACCGTTATATATAACTTTTAAAGATATTTTTTGTATAGCTTTTNCTTTTTTTTTTGAGTTGTATATAAGGAGCTTGTTACAGTGTCGGGGAAAAAAATTCCGGTATTATACCGTTATATATAACTTTTAAAGATATTTTTTGTATAGCTTTTGGGGGATCATTTATAGTTTCTCCAAAAGTTGTAACTTGGTGTTAAAAAATTGTTTGAACTATAAAAGTTCTAAAAATGACCTCAAAAGTTATAATTTTTCAGGATCGATATTAATATTTTAATATCAATCATAATTTTGTATGGTGAATCACAAAAGTTATAAACTTCGGTATTATATGATTAGATGTATGTTTCGGTAGCCAAGTAGTTCTATTGCCAGAATTGTTTGGTTGCTTCCCGGAGTAAACGCAGCTTAGCACATAGGTGTGTATGGAACTCAGTCAAAGCGAAAAAAACAACTCTTAAGTGTGCAGGAATGGTGCCTACAAAAAGTGTTTTCAAGACACTGGAATATTATAAGTTCAGATTTTGAACCCGGGCAAGTAGTCCAACAGTTTGGCTGAATCATGGACGTCTTAAATTTAAATCTCGCTAGTTACTCTCAGTTTAACCAATATTTATGGTTAGTGGGTAATTGTAAATATTTGATATTTACTTTGAATGGGTAAATTAGTGATTCTACAATATAAAAAAAAAAAAAAAAAAGAATTGGCGATTCTAACTTGGAGCTATTGGTCACAATTGAGAGAGAGAGATTGAAACCCAGGCAAATAGTCCTAGGCTGAGTCATCAACTCGGATGTCTTGAATTTAATTCTCGTTAACCAATAGTTATGATTAGCGGGTAATTATAAGTATTTGAGGTTTACTTTGTATGGATGAATTAGTGATTCTAACTTAGAACTAGAGAGAGAGAGAGAGAGAGAGCTTCCTGATTCTAAATCTCATTGACTACCTTACACTTTTTAGTTAATAAGTAATGTTATTAAGACATAATTTATTGAACTAACTGAGTTCGGTTATGGCTGTATATTGCTTGGGATGAGTTAAGATGATGGGGATTGTTTAATGGGTCAACTGATTTATACATAAAAACACTTGCTTCTTCATCTTTGTTTCCTGTAATACATAAAATCTCTTTTTAGTTCTAAAAAATATTGATGTTTGTATTGCAAGCAAGTTCACCAAGAACCTACATTAAAAAACTGGAAGTTCATTTAATTATCAGTGACGAGAGTTATTCGATATCAAAAAAATAAAATAGATTCAAGGTTGATGTAATAGGTGGTAAGAGTTGACAATGCTCTGTCATTATATTCCCTCTTTCTTTTTCTTTTTTTTCTGCAATTGACCCCATGAAAATCCATTCTGTCCAACATGTGCAATTTCAGGAAACCATGGCGGATGTTGTGTGTGTTTCTTTGCAACTTGGTTTCTTAAATTAGTATGAAGACATAAATGCCAGTTTGTTCCTTTTTAACAACACTTTGCCAAAAATAGCGGCTTCCTTTATCCAAAAAAAAAAAACCTGTCACTTCCTCCTCGTACGACAACCCAAACATTAGCTGAGAAAAATTCTACCGTATCAAATTTTTTTTTTTTGGGTATTACTACCGTTGGTTATTTTTTTTTATAATAGAATTATAATTTTGAAAAAAGCAGTTACAACTAAGAGAATACCATAATCAATCACGGGCACCAATAATCAATTATGAACTCTCGGTATCGATTACAACCTTCTATGATCAATTGTATTTTTTAAAATTATAACTTTCACCTCAAAAAAATTATAATTTAACTTAAAAAAGTTATAATTTTTGGTACGATACAGATAGTTGTACCGTAACCTTTCACTTTAGTTGAGGATTCTTCCCCC